CCCACAGTGCATTTCTAGAACGTGTACAGTTAATGGTGACAGTCTGACCGATAAAAGGAGTTCAGAAAAGAGCCACTAATAGTGAAAGGTGTATTACAAAAAACAGTGGCTGGTTCTATTAATATAAATCACTTGGCCCCAGTTTCAGAACACGATGTAAGTGAACAAATCAAATTAGACAGCAACCGGGCAGTTAAAGAGACAAAATGAACTTCGGATTGTTGAAAAGATATAGTATTTTTTTCAAAAACTTAGACTCTATTGAGCTAGCAAAGTTAATTCCAAGATAATTTATTTTAATGAAGGTTCTTACCCCTTCACAGACTGGATATAGGACTTCAAAGAAGACAAAACTTCAGTTAGCTTTGCAAAAAAAAGGTATTAATAGTCATTCATTGTCAAATTGCAGCTTTTACCTTCCCTTTTCTATTGACCCACTATTTTACTGACAGTTATACACCTTTAAACAAGTTATTTTCAAGTCATTTCACTACACATTTATATCCTGGAGCTACCAGGCCTCTCATTCCTTTCTGAATAACAAACTGCCTACTTCAAAGTAGAAGGTATGAAACCCAATGCAGATTCTCTGTAGTTTCCCTTCTTCTATGTGTTAGCTGATATATACTATGCAGCAAAGATTCTGCACCCTTATAGCGTGAGGTCTCCCATTAGACATGCACTCCTTCTGAAATCTTCAATTTTGTTCCAGTAAAAATAGGACCGAACAAACTTTCTGTTCTCTTCCATTCAAATATTTTTGGGGGGGACAGGGAGGAATTGAAATTTGTAAAATATGTCCATGAGTTTCACAGATTGTCTCCTCTGCAGTCACCAGTGTGGATGCCGAGGGAGATTCCCTCTCCAGTCAGTCCAAGGCCACGTCCCCCTTCCTGACCCTTTTGTACAGTCTGACAAGCAGTTCTCTGCACACTTGTATAGGAGGCTCCTCTCCCTGATGGGAACTACAGGGGTGACCCTCATAACCTCCAGTTCCACAGCCAAACACATCCTAAGCTAAGCCACCTTCTTTGAACCTACCTGCCTCTGCCTGCTGGCAGCTCTGGCTCACCCACCACCCCCTCCCCGCATCAGTTCTCCCGCACGGCCGGGCCCTTCCCGCTGGCTTCCCCAGTTGGGATCGGGAAGCGGCTGCCCTTACCTGGAGCGAACACCATGGTGCCGCCCGGGCGGCGCGGCTCAGCACCTCGGACAGCTCCCGGCCCTGCGGGGGCTCAGCACCACGGACAGTGCCCGTCCCCGCCGGGCTCAGCACCACGGACAGCGCCCGGCCCCGCACGGCGGCGGAGGCGGCTGCGGGCCGCGGTCCCTCCCTCCACAATGCGGCGGGGCGGGGAGGGGGCCGGGGCACCCGCACGGACACACACACAGACACACACACACTCTCCCAGGGAACCATCACTGCCACAACTCGTTGCCCTGCAGTGGCAGCAGGGGGAAGGGCAAAGAGGAGAAAAGCAATAGAGATGTGCCCAGCAGGGAGCCCGGTTAATTGCTCCTAATTACCTCGCGGCAACAGCCCCGCTGCCAGACATTTTGGGGTACACTGCTCTCACCGCAAGCTAACAGTCCTGGTAACGGGCTGCAGCGACACTGTACTTCGTCACAGTATTTTACTTTCCAAAGGTTCAAATGCTGAGGAATTTATACTCTGATTTCACAGGCCCGTTAACCCAGCTGTACCCAACAGCAGCACTTTAAGAGGGAACATGAATGTTTTCGCATATAAAATATGACACCAGGGCCAAACAGTAAAGAAAGTAATGAATAAGTAATAAAATAGAGAAGATGAGACCAAACAGCAAGAGAAGACAATTTAAAATTTCCCACCAACTTTTATGGTTCACATTTAATTTGCTTTTGTTTGTAAAACCCATGCTTAGATTTCCTGTGGACCCTGAACTTATATAGAAGTAAGATGAACAACAGCCAAATGGGACACAATTTAGAAAAACTAACTCTCCTGTTTAAGCCTTCCCTGCAAGAGGAATTTTGAAAAACACTGATTACCAGTGCAAATTAGAGAAAGTAGATTTGAAAAAAAAAAAATTAGCATGAATGTTTGCATGCAAATTTTTCCAATATGCAATACATTTTCCAAACACATTTTCATAACCTACAGGTCATTTCATAACCCACAAACTTATTTCATTCTTTTTCACAGTCAAGTATTTTACACACATAAAATTCTCCAATTAAACCTGGAGAGGTTTAAGTCTCAAAATAAGGCCTTATTCTTAAAATACAGATACAGAAAAGCACTAGCTTGTTTAAATAATATTGCCTATATACTTCAACAAGAACTCAAGAAAGGCATCACAGTTAAAGTCAAACTAAGTATCCGATGACAATTTTTTCTTTTTTTTCTTTTTTTTTTTTTTTAACTGTATAACACAATTTCTCCTTGGAAATGCCTTTCAGATTTACCTCCACTTATCATTTCTAGCATCCGATTTCTGGATATTCCTTTAATTGCTCTTAACAATTTCAGTTTCTTTATTGCCATTTGTTTCTCTTTCCTGTCCTGTATTTCAGGGACTTAATTTCACTTCTCTCAGAGCGCAACCAAATTACAAATATAAACATACCTCCAGTTGCTCAGAAGTGGTGTTCCCTCTATGATTATTACTTCAAAATTTTCCATTCTAACCTTTTTTCATCTATTATTATTCTTATTCACCTAAAGTCTAGGAACTAATAGGGTACCTAAGAACTCAATTAGAACAATTTCTAGTACAAGTATCCCACATGAAATACAGACAAGACTGCAGTCAGCATTATTCAGCATTCTTAAGAGAAAGGTGAAGGATATCCTGTAATCTTTAGAAAATCAGAACTGATATACAATTTGGAAAGGCCGTAAGAAAATTTACACTAGTATTTTTATGATGTATCAGTTATGTGGCCCCTAATGCTTGATTTGTGGATCTCCATTGCTCAATGGAGAGTCATCCATCATGAAAAAGAGATGCTAAGCCACTTCTCCCAAAAGAAAAATCTATTGGATATATTTCTATTACATACATCCTCAAAAGAAATTATATGGATGTCTACAAGGGATTGGGTTTTGAGGTAGTGGAACACCTTGTTAAAAGATTTTCAAAACATTTTGGGGAAAGAATACAGTTCATTAATGATAATGTTCAACACACTTCTTTCTTTGACTGCTCTCTGTGTTTACCCTAACAAATAGCTCAAACCGGGCACATTTTATTTTAGAGTTTTCAGTTTTCTTGCTCAAATTAAAGGCTACCAGCAAGTAATGTTTTCTCACACAGAAAATGAATGTTATCAAGAAGCATTCTGGGCTTCTTTTTGTCACATTTTCAATTTCAGATTTGGTCACAAGTTCAAATGAACACAAAATCACTGAAATAACTGCACATGACAGAGCTCTATAGTGAACTGTCACCTCAAAAAATGTGCAGTTAATGCAGTAAAGCCACCAAAACAAAGACTGAACTAATAGTTATTTTTCATTCAACTTCAGATTAATGAAAAACATTGTCAGGTACTCCCAGTAATAAAAAAATAAACCTTGAGAATGAAGCGCAGTGGTAAAAATTACATTACATCTTAAAAATATCTGTAAAGATGTACCATCAACTTGTATGAAATACAAAACAGAAAAGCACTTACAAAAAATCTGTATATATTTTTATCACTAATTATACAGTCCCTCTAACATTTTCATTCTTACTGTTCGAGTGAGGAATTACTAATTTCTGTATAACACCAGGACATCTAAAAATTCCTTAGTATGTCATCATGGCTAGGCTTCGTGAACGAAGATTTGGGAAGGCACTATCCACATTTGCTACAGGCACGCTGGTGGCTTATGAGGCCAATACGTGACAGACATATCCGATTGCAAAAGGCACAGCAGAAAGACTCCTTAGATGGTGTATTCTGCAAGGTACGGTTCTTTCTGCGTTGCCTTTTTTCCTCGAGAGTGATCCTGTGTGTGTTCTCGAAGGAGACAGCTGTGTTATAGATGGTGTGTCTCCAGGCCTCCCGATTTGAGGCCAGAGTAGACCAGTTATGGTGATCAATATGGCCAAGGCTGAGATGTTGTTTCAGGGAGTCCTTGTATCTTTAAATCATTTGTTGCTATTCACAATTCCGTGGCTTTAGATCTGAATTAAACCCTGAAAACAATTATTTGGTCGCATAGAATCAGAAGCTTAGTAAATATGTATTAAGAAGGTATTTTTACCTGATATTCAAAGTTTCAATGTTTTGTTAACAAGTACACACAGCTAATATTTTTCAGGTAAGATTTTAAACTCTTTTCTGAAAGAATCATTCAGAAGTAATTACTTAAATATGAGAACAATTTATAATAAAATGTTTTCTAAAGAGATAAACAAGGTTTCATACGTCTACATCAGATGCTAACATTATATTTTGTAAAAAGCTCTCTTCCCAACTTTGAGAATTAATTATCTCTCTATTATATTAGAGTTTGGTTTTGGTTTTGTTTGGTTTTTTTTTAAATTTCCTTCCGCATCTAAACTTTAATAGTCAAATCTAGCTTTTTGGGAGGGAAGACTAATACAATTAGGAAATTGCTTTAACTACTTGATGCCTTTTGCTAAACTGACTACTATCATAATGATCTTCAAAAACTTATTACAGTCACTGACTGTCTTACAGTTAAGCTTAACAACAAAAATCTTTACTAGCCCAGGTGCAATACATTACATCTGAAAATTCAAGGAAATTGTTCAGAGGAAATTGTGACTGTCAGTAAGAAATATCTAAATATTAGATGAATATCTGAAGTGTCAAATGGCAATTTGTATACTAGGGGTCATACTATTCAGGGTCCTAGATTTAGACACCTAACTTCTAATACCTCTCTGATTATTATACCTCTAACAGAGAGATGTAGTGAATAAACAGAGGTAGAAAAGCAAAAGAAAAAGGGGCACAATTGCAAATCTCCTGAAAAAATAATTAAACGAAAAGCCAGTTACCTTTCTGTGAGTGCTCCAGAAGAATAACGATGCACAGATTTCCAGCAGCTAAAGACATGACACCTTGAAAGTCAGAAGCAAGAACATGCAACATTTCTCAAGACAGGAAAAAGTGAATACCATTGAAGATAAATGTGGTCACCACAGTTTCAATTCATCAGTCTATTAATCTTTCTTAATTAACCTGATAAACTGCACAGTAGTCCAGGGTTGAGATTTACAAATATGAATAAATTTTAGACAGAGTCTAGGAGAAATAGTTGTACAGTTTTAGGGTGGGCTTGGGGTTTTTGTTTGTTTCTTTGTTTTGTTTATTGCAGGATTTTTAAGTAGCACCAAGATGAGTCCACCACAGGACTTCCACAGTTGTAAATAGATCCCAAAAGCCACACTTCCATCTAGCTGGTTTTATTGCCACCCTCTCATCTGAATGCCTCACACCCATGAATGGTTATCTTCCAACAGTCCCATAAGTAAATTGGCATCTTTCTCTTTTAGATGGAAGTCAAAGTTAGAGAAGTTGAACCCAAAGTGAAAGCCAATCAACAAGAAATAAGGACCTAGATAAATTCAGGAGGTTTAAATAAAAGATTGACTGACTCAACTAAAACATCACTGCACATACAACTGTGCAGTAGAATCAAAGCAATCGTTGCTCCCACCTGCCACACCTCTGCAAGTTGCCAGTCCCTTCACCGAGACAGATGAATGAATCACAGTCCAAAATTCAGAGGCTTTCCATTACACGGGAATTCTTTTATACAGCAAGGAATTCAGTCCAGTCAAGTCCTTGGCTAATGACTCTGGATCTAGCAGAGACACTGTGAAACATAGGCAGAGACTTTAAAGAACCTCACACACAACCACTGTCTCCTGACATGGAACAGGCCATACCATTCTGCACCACACTGAAGACACATAGGATGGGTTGGGAATCTGCCACAAATGAAACTCTCACCTTCAAACCTTTTCTGTTACTACCAGCGTGACATTTGTTACACTAAAAATGAGTGGCTTTTACATGTCTTTCTCTCTTCTATAAAAACTGTTTTAAGACTGATCATGCCACGGCTTATTGGTGTGTGTAACTTGACACGAATCATAAAATTTGGCATTTGCTCAAGTCTTCAAAGAACCTAAAAGGAGACAATTAAAGAAGCATTTATGACCCATGGCAAAACAGCTTGCCAATGAACTAAGGAGAGGAATGAATGAAGAAATTTCCTAACTCATAAAAAATGCTATTAGAGTCCTCAATAAATCAGTTATACATTTTGACAAATGTAAACAACCTAAATATTAAACCACATGCTTAATTTAATGTTGAGAGAACAAACATATGTAAAATGTAAATACCGAAATCATAATTTTAATATGCTACTAAACAGCTTAAATTCAAGAACTGAGAACGGGAAATTGTACTGAATTACAGTAATATGAAATACAAACACTAAATACACAACTTGTCCCACAGAATCAAAGGAATGGGGATTTCGTCATGCATGGTTAAAAATTAAAAAATGTGGTCAAATAAGATAAATATATGAATTTTAAATTGAGTTTGAAAACATCAACTTTGATACAAAAGAAAGCATTTAAAACAGTAGAGTATCAAAACTTTAAATTAGGTTAGCAAGATTCACAGAGCATAATGCATGTCCAATTGAAAAGTATCTATAATAGGACATCCCTATTCTAGTGGAATTTATCACATCCATCAAATCAGGGCTACTGTCTGACTGCATTTAATCTGTCCTTGAAACAATGGGAGATCTACAAGAAAGTCATACAACTGGATAAAAGTTAATTACTGAAGTGGAAAATTAAACCTATGCTTTATATTGAAAACATATGACTAACACTCTTAAAATGGGTAATTGTTCACTTCAATTAAAACATTTCTGTCTAACATAACTCTGTTTATGATGGCAGTAATGACATTTTCAAGTAAGAATTGCAGGGTCGTAGTTTGGTGGGGGTTTTTGTATTGTTTTTTGGTTTTGGGGGTTTTTTTGCAGACCGAATGGCAAAACTCTAGCATAGGCAAACCTGTCAGGCACTGTAAAAAATGTAAGTTTTAATTGTTACTATGTGTATAGTTATAGGTAACTGTTAGCCTAGTAACCAAGCCCAGTTATGTTCAGACTTCTAACTCATCTGAAATAAAAAAGAGTAGAGTTGCTCTTTCCTAATTCCCAAGCTGACAGTTGAAATCTTTTTCCTTACTTGACCCAAGATCAAGAAATCCAGAAACAAAATTAGAATAATACATATACATACTTTTTTAAAAAAATCAAGACTTTCTAATAGGAGCAGTCAATGAGATCTTATTGCTTTCCGGGGTATAAAGTCTTCTGTACAGTGTTGAAAAGTTAAATATTGAAAGTTTACACCAGCATTACAAATTTTATGCTCAAAATCCTGGTTTAAGTTCTATTTTATACTTTAAGAGTATAATATAGTGGCCATTGTTGTTATCTTACTGGATAATCTGGACAAATTAGTAAAATACTACTGGGTAAAATATCAAAATCAATAATAGCTGTAATATAAAATAAGGCATTTTGTAAAAAGAAAATATTCAAATACCATTATTTCAGATGGGGAAAAAATGTTAAAATCACAGAAAACTATGAGAAATATCAGAGAACAGAAATATTTTCAGGTAAGAATTTCTCACTGAGAGAAGGCAACTCTCAGCAAGGAATACCTTCTGAAGCCTCAGCTACACAACTCAATAACCACATATAAAACTCATTAATCTGAAGTATGTACCAAGTGGAAATGTATGAGGAAAATATTGTTTCCTTCTAATACTTGCAAAGATTAACTTATGTTGAAAAAATACATTTCTCATCCTTTTGGGATTACAGTTTTGTTCTTCAGTAGGTTAAATACCTATTGTCTTTTATTAATAACTCTTTTCTCCTTAATTTGATCAATTTTTCACCATTCAAGGCTGTGTAGGATTGTTGAATAAGAGGTAAGCAGGGTCAGATTAATTTAAATAATAACAAAGAGAAAAAAAGCCCCAACTTCAAACCCCAAATTCCATTCTCCCAAAAAAGCAGAAATGAAGCACAGATATCCCTCTTCAAAATCCCGTAAGTCTACCAGCAGTGGGTGTTGCAAAGGACTTACGTCTGATCCTTTCTGTTGCCTGGCTGCTTCTCACAAACCGTGCAACAAGTGCTGTGTTTCATCATATGGCATTCAATGTGGTACCAAAGCTGGCAAGTCCTGCTCCATTCCCTTTCCTAACTCTAGCAATGTGCTCCTGCCACTTACCTTGGGTCAAACCTAATGAATTGGTTCGACAAGGGAGGTCAATTTAAAACTAACTCACTGAAGCACTGAATAGCTTTGTTATAGGAATACACTCAACTGGCTTATTCTAAAGCCACAGAAGCCACTAAATCTGAGGTTAACAGACGGAGGAAACAGGTGCAAAAGGTAATGGCAAAAAAAGAAAGGAGAGAACGGGAACAGCCCTTTTAGCAACAATTTGCAGTTTTGCTATGGCAGTTGAAACACAAAGCTGCTGTCTTAAGAGGTAGCTCCACAATAACTGAAGTCGTTCTAAATTGAGGCTGCTCTTCCACTGACCCTAGCACCAAGGCAATCATGTGGGGCTGATAAAGTTAAGAAAAAAATGCCTCAGAACAGTTATTATTGTTCAGGTGCTTCAGCTCTTCATGAATTGGTTCACTGAGACCTTACAGGAGTGCTACTGCAGGCAGAAAAACAACAATAAACTGCAGCAACCACAACTTTGCTTGTCTTAAATCACTGTGGATGTGATTCCTTGACCTCGTTTAGCTCTTTCGTTAACTCAAAAACAGGGAAACATCTCATGATTGAGTTGTGCCTTGGGCATAAAGCCTACTGCCTTGATGCATTACTTCTCTCTTTTTGTTACCACCTAAGACAGACAAATAGGTTCAAGCTAAATAGAGTGCCAAACCTCTTCCTGTGCTCAAAGAACCGAGGCTAGATCATCTTTGGATCAAAGTCAATAGCTATTATTTTGTTATAAAATAGTACATACTATCCAGCATAACAATGAGTAACCAGAATATTAGATGTACCACAATTTTATGCATGGTAAATTCTATCTGAAGAAACAGGTGGAATTGTTTTGAGCTTCCCTTGAACCTCTTTACCCTCACAAGCACTCAAAAATAAAGAATTCAACAGGAACAAAAGAACATAACTTAGCAATGAGATTTGTCATGACAAGATAAACCTTTAGGGGGTGAGCTGGCACTCCTTACACCAGTTTAAATAAGAGGGTCCTGTTCCTTCCTCTTCGCTGTTTACCATCATCCCTGCTCTTACCTGAATACTTTGATCACTTACCTTGCACTGACAGAGAAGTTCACCAGACACCTTTCTGAGCAGGAAAGGAATCAAGAAGGAACAAGACTCACCCTTTCAGCACAATTAAGCTTTACTATACAAAGTATACTTTGCTGTGCCTTTAGAAGACTGTACTCTCAAACAGCAAGCTTTATAGCAGAACAGAAACAAATAAAAACAATGCTTAAATTTAAAAAAAAATCATTGTAAACTATTCTTCCATACAAAATAAGCCACTCTCTATTCATTTTACATCTTTGCAAAGCAATCGGATCAAATTCTACTGCCATCTGAGAAAACATTCTTTAGTGGCCTAAGCAAATCTCACAAAAACTTCAGTTAATTTGTAACAGGAAATGGAAGAATGCTAATGGGCTAATCTAAAGTACAAAAAAGATGGATGTCCAGGTGTAAAGAAAAAAAGTTCTAAATGTGGTTAGATACAGACAGTCAGTATAATTTGATATATCAAGCATCAGAGTTACAAGATACTTCATGGCTTTCATAGCCAGAGAAACTAAACCTATACACTGATTCTAAATGCTGGAGATTAAAGTAATGGAAACAAATAAAAAAATTTATGATCTGAGACTAGTGACTTCTTAAACATTGAAAACATATTCTTTAATATAATGTACCCTAAATGTATTAAATACAAAATTGCATTCAATTTGTAATAAAGTTTAATAAATGCAGTTTTAGAACATTTTCACACTACTTTCTTGCTTTTACCCCAAAACTTTTCCTTTACTTTGCCCATGCAACCTTAAACACATGTGAATAAGGTCTGATAGTATGCAAAAATAGAGCTAACTAACATTTTGAAAGACGGTGTCCTGAAAAGTCTTCTCTGTAAACCCTAATTATGCTGATGATGAGTACAAAACAGACAGAAATCACCTGCAGATAACTGATAACCTCCCTTGAAGAGAAACTCCCACCTGGAAGTACACACAATCTTGTGTCAGTACCATTTCCAAATTCTATAGTAGAAAGAAGTAAGGTGTTGATCTCAGAGTGGAGCTCTAGTATACCCCATCCTCCTGTTTGAGCAATCTGCAGTGCCACTACAATGCTTTGTTCCTGTAAACATTGTTTGTAGTACCCTGGGACCCTGAAAAAAAAAGTGTCTTTATTACTGAAGAATGAAAACTTAGATGCAGGGAAGCTTGGTCTTTAGAATATTTTAAAAGACAAAAATACTCTAAGTGCTTAGCATATGCAGATTACTTAAATGTATAAATAGGCCATTGGGAAGAAGTCAGAAAACTACAAGTGTAGGTACAGCAGGACTTGTGTGGTTTTGGTCATTGTTTTCAACAGAAGGGTTTGCATCAGAAAAGACATTTTTCTAAACAGAAGAAAAATTCTCATGTTTTGGTAGAAAAAGCAGAAAATAGCTCTCATGATTTAACGAGTTCATAAAGATGATCTATATCCAACGCATTATATCTATTTGTCTTAGTTCTTAGTTCAAAAATTACTATTTCTGGCTATTTCAGGTTTCTTGTACTACATTTAAAAATCATTCCTGAGAATAGGTGTCTCAACTCTTATGACACACATTTAACAAATCTATTCATGGAAATTCTCCATCTGTTCTGAAATGAGTAAGAATGTTATTATAATTGTTTTAGATCTATATGAAGACAAATGACAGATCAACTGCAGTAATGGAATTTTTAATGAAACGCGCAAGTTTCTGGCTGACTGGGCATACTGCTGTGATCTAAAACTAACTGTTTGAAAAAGATGAAAATTCCTTAGATCTGTCTTTACCTTCCAGGTAGAATTATTCTGTTCTGTATCAATCTGCAAATGTTTACATTCAGAAAAGTCATCTGTTGTAAGCAGATGAACTCTCCTGCATAAATGCTTTGTCCTTTCTGTAAGCCTAGAGGTGTCTGAATTTATAAAATACTTAATAAAAGATAATCTGTCCCTAAAAATATACTCTAACCTTAGGGTAGACTTTCTGATATAATCAGATATTTTATTCTGTACCTCACACAGACTCTATTAATCTTAAGTATTCTTACTTAATGGAACAACAAAAGTTATCTCTACATTAGAAAACTGGGGCCTGATCTTCAAAAGAACTCGTTTGGGTACCTAAATGGCAAGACTTTGCAAAGTATTTAGTATTTTGTAGCTTATATGAACAAACAGAAACAAACAGAAACTGATCCACACATTTGCTACCGAAGTGAGTATGAGGCATTTCCTTTCACAAACTGACCTCTAATACTCCAATCTCCAGGTCTAAATCTTTCTAAAAGAATTAAGCAGAAAAACAAAACCAGAAGTACTCACTCAACTGTGAGTTGCTTCATTTTCTATTATTTTTTTAACTATTGATAAGTGAACACTGTGTAAAAGAAGGGGTGGAGAAGGGCTGAAAGGTATTCTTGCTGAACATTTAGTTTCCAAACTGAGTTGTGCCAAATAATCAGCAGCATACCCATGGCTAACACAATTAGGATCAGAAATTAAGCAGATACCAGAGGACAAAATGTGTTACTTTTGTTCCTTTTTCTCTTAAAAAAAAAACCAAAACAAAACCCAAACAAAAAACCAAGCTATTTTAAGAACACCCAGTTAAAATCACAGAATAGCAAAGTTCTTGTTTCAAATATTTCTTTTCACTCTAAGTTAGTCTTTTAAAGTGCAAAGCCTTTTAATTAAATTGTTATACTTCCTTATATTTAGATCTTTTTGCAGCGGAGACGACTGTGGTTTAGTGTTTCATCTGGTGCTGACCTTACACAAGGCAATCACCAAAAGAAGCTCATTTCACATCAACTAACATGTTGCTGCATTGTATACATGTAAGCCCTGCTTACACAACACCTATTCATATACTTAATTCCCATACACAGAGGGTTCCATTGAAGCCACATGGTCACGCATCATCCATCATAAGACGGATGGAGGTTCAGTGTCAGCCAAAGAGAGTAACCAAGTGTTTGCTATCCTATGTATATTAAAGACATAACTGACTCTGATCTCATAAACCACAGACTGACAAGTGTACGTTCAGGACTAATTCTATACATAATATTTTTGCTACTTAATTCGGAGAAAAAAGTAATCCATATTCAACACTATTTTAGCCGTCTATTTTCTACAGCATTCTGTCATTCCTGCATGCACACCAATTAGTTAACTTGCCTGCTGTTCGAAAACTTTTAAAGAATGTTAGACTAGTCTGGCCCCAATACAGTCAACAGCAAAATTCCCTTTAGTCAGAGAGAATCTCATCCACTGTCTCATAAACTCTGAAAGAACCTGCCATGCCATCCTTGTAAAAGCAAAAATAAAAATTTGCCCATTACTCAGTCAACATGGTTTACAGCTTACTGTTTATCAGGCTGGAAAACCTCGGTGGCTCGGAGCTGACGCACACCTGCTTTTATACATGATGTCTTCTGGCACAGATGAGAGAGACAGAAGCAGTAGTGTCTTAAGATGAAGACAGATTTATCTGAACTTCACGACAGATCCCCACAATATATAAGCAAACCTCCCTTCAGAACATACACAACAAACAGGTTAATTTAGAACATATTAACAATAAATATATACAGCTTCTTACATCCACACCTTCTTTCTGAAACCTCTTCCAAAACTTTTCCAAGGCCTTCTCTCTGCCTTGAGTAAAAACAACCAGGGAGAAAAACAATTAGCCATTGGCTTTCAAAAAAAGAAAAAATAAGGTAATTTCACATCCTTAAAACAGATGGTGGTAGTAGGAATTGCCAAGAAAATTCTCAATCAACTTCAGAAATATAACTGAGCCTTGGCCTTCTTAACCAGTATTGTCAGCTAAGCAGTCTTCTGACACTTAAGCACCTAAAAACTAGCAGGAGGCTGAGGCCCCCTTTTAAAACCTTTGACATGGAGGCAATTCAATTGACTTCATTTAATTTGATCCTGTCATAGACTTTTAAGACCAAGTCTCATATAAAGTGTTTATACCTGCCCAAAGAACATGCAACAATAACATTTGTTCATGCCTCTGCACACTTCTGTATTAGATTATGTATAATATCAATCTGTCCCAGCTTTTAAAAGCTACAAACATCACACAGTCCTTATAGCTGTTAACTTTTCCAGCCGTAAGCTTTAGCAATAGCAGAATTTACTCTGATGTAACACAGAATGTTATCACACTTTTGGTAGTGAGTCTTTTAATGCAAGCCTGTTTTTCTATAACAATTTCAAATTCACAGTCTGACTGCTTGAAAGTCAGGGGGTAATATTCTTTTAACTGTAAGACCTGAGCTCTGTCTTTCTACTTAAGTGCCTACTGTCCTATGAGATCCATTTTAATTTATTACATTTCAAAAGACCAACCAACCAACCAACAAAAAAACAACCCCCCCCCCAACAACAAACCAATGAAGCTGTTCTTGAGAGGTTATTCATCGTATCCCTCAGCTTCAAAGCAGAATTAACCATATTTAAACCATTCCTAACATATGTTTGTCTAACCCTTTTTTGAATGTCATCACTAGTGGAGATTGCAATATTTCCCCAGGTATTTTGTTTTAGTAATTAATTATCAAACCATTTAAAAGATTTTTTTTTCAATGTAAATGTTTACTGCTGTAATTTAAGCTCATTGTTTCTTGCACTTTTCATAGTAGACCTAGAGAAAATTTACTTTCTTCACATTTTACACTTTTGAACTCTTATTACAACAGATCTGTTTTGTACGTTCTTATCAACCCCAATTTAATCTAGAAAAAAAGTGAACACAATTTTAGATAAGAAAACATAGCACAACTAATATATTTAGAAAAAAAATGTAGATCCTATTTTGGACCTACTATCTTTATATCTATGATCATATACAGTAAAACATTTTAACAATGGTCATTTATCATGTTCCTCAAGAGAACCAATAAAATGCAATGAATACACATCCTCTGATGTTGCACAGGTACAAAATGTATAGTTTGTTTACAAACTAATATTACTGAATGTAAAATGAAGCAACAGTTTAAAAAAATATATTGGTAAAGGTCCGAAGTTTACATTTTCTAAAATATTAAGTTCATGTTTTATTTACAGACCAGCGTTCAAACAATTACTGGCATTTTAAGATAACTGTTTAACCTGATAAGTACACGAATAAAATGAAGCTGTAAAAAAAACCTCAACCAAACAAAAAAACCCCCAATGATAGAAGTTCCATATAACAGTTTCAAAAACACTTTCTAAATTTCTTTTTAGAAAAGCAAGATGTGATGTACCACACAGTAACTTACCAGAAACTGATCTAACACTTCCATATGCTATAGGTATCGCAAGTGACCAACGTTACTACAATGTGCCCAAGAGTGTGGGGTTTTGCCCATTCCAACTTCAAATGAAGTTTTCACAACAGTTGTAGTATTTACAAATTTAAAATAAAGGCTCAGTATCCCTTTGGATTACATTACCACTGTTATTGTGTCTTCTCTTGCTGACTACACACAGGAGACTGCAATCCAAAGACAACTTATTGTGTTGACTCTGTGAGTTAACTATTAAATTAGCAGCATGTACCCCAGCTTATCTTAAAAAAAAAAAATAGGCGAGACTAAGCAACCGACTAATAGCGAACACTCACTCTGGATCAATTACAACTGAATTCACTCACTGAAGTGTCTCTATTGCTGAGAGATGGTGAGTTAGAAGGTGGAAACTTTTAAACTTGAACAGGACCTATGAGCTGTTACGACAAGCCATGACACAAACCCCAGCTGAACACTGTGGGCAGGTATGTGATAGCCTGTGGCTGTGCTCTGCAGCTCCAGGAGTCTGGCAGTGACAGGTCACTCGCCAGTGCAGCTAAACCTCCTGTGCTCCCAGAAACACTCCTTTACCTTCACTGTGCTAGGTTAGGTGAACTGAAAGCTGCATAATAAAAAGCACAGCCTCAGGCTGTATTAGCTTTAATTGATTTCTACTGGGTTTGAGTAAGGAGCATGTCTCATCCACGCTGCACCTTTTTTCCTTTATGGCCCAGTCCCATCTCCAGGGCCCTACATAAGAATGAACACAAAAACAAAAGAGGCAGACTTTTTTACCCACTGAAGGGATTGGTGAATGCCATGACGCTGCTGCTTTGCCAGCCAGAATCACTGTGAATAATGTAGTTTTTTCAAGAAATCAAGTATTTCATTAAACTTGCCACCTTGATTAAAATACGAGGGTATCTGGGGGAATGGAATAAGAAGCAATTTCATTCTGATCACCATCCCACTTACACTCTACTGTACCTACCTACATTAAGTGAAAAAAGGAGGAATTAAAAAGCTTAGGGAATCAATGTCTGTTTCTCAAAAAATTATAACACCTTCAGAATTATGAAAAACAAGTATTTCCTTTCCATGTTTGTGATTTTTGAGATTTCAGCGGTTTCAAACTTACTGATTCTCACTGATTGCAATGTTTATGTTGTATGCAGTATTCCATACTGAATGAAATAAGTATCAGCCAGTAATTATCCCTGTTTTTATAGAGAACTTGATTACACTCTCAAATTAAAGCAGGTATTAGTGCATTATACTGCTAATGGCAACAAAATTGCTTCACATTCTAAGAATACCCATCTCTGAAATGTTTTAAAATACCTAACCAAATGATGCTATGTATTTCTATGTAACATTCAATTCTCTAAAAATATGATTTCTTGAAAAAATTCTCAGTCTAAACGTATATCAACACTAGATTTTGTTCAATTTAATTTCTTATATTATTTCTGATAAAGTTTCTGCTTTCGTTTTTAACTACAAGCTATAGTTTCTAATTGCTGCTCTGCTTCTGCAGCCATGGCTGCTGCCTGTAACTGTTCTGTTTCACTCTGGATGGAATTGGCTGTAGTAACTTGTTTTCTTTCACTGTGCATATTGTTCTCATGCCTTTTTAGGTCAGAAGCCTTAGCAAATGCTTTAGTGCAGGAACTGCAGACAAAAGGTTTCTCTCCTCGATGTCTTCTTTCATGGTCCTTGAGATGGGACTTGTGCTTGAAAGCCTTATCACACATATGGCATGCAAAGGGCCTCTCATTACTGTGAACTCTTTCATGCTTTTTTAGATCTGGTGCGCGAATAAAAGACTTTCCACACACTTCACAACTGTAAGGCTTGTAGCCTGTGTGTATTTTCAAGTGCTCTTTCAAATGAGCTTGTGTGGTAAAGCCCTTCGTACACATTTCACAAACAAACGGCCTATCAGCCGTGTGTAACTTTTCATGTTTTCTCAATCGCACTTCATCAGAAAAGGTCTTGCCACAAGCCTGACATACAATATGTTCCCTGTGACCGTAAAGTAAGTACTCAAACTTCATATCTCCAGCTGCCGTGGTCCAGCCAGGTGTCTGTTCATCTTTCACTTCACTTATCCCATCATTAAATGTCAAAGCCTGAGGGGTCTGAGATCCTAAGTCTTTAGATTCAGTCGTTTCCATAGGCTCTACTTCTTGGCCATAGCAGTTTACTTTTCGAACTTCTTCACTTCCCAACTCTTTCAGAATTGCCTCTTGCACTCTCAGGGTAGTTGTTGGTGACTTTCCATCTTCCTGACTTGGAGGAGTTCCTTCCACTGTCACATCTGATGGACTATCATCATGATCTCCAATTTCTTCCACCTCATCATCTTGTGTATCATTGGGTTCTCCAATAGGACGGTTTATTTTTAGACAGTACTTGCTCTTGGACTGTGTGTTGTCTTCAGGACTAGAAACATCACGTTTTTGAGAGCAGAGTTTATCAAGAAATCGAATACCGAGGATCTGGCCTGAAGACATCATCAAATTTACATCCTCTTTCTTAACAGATATCTTTGCAGTATACATGTAATTGAGAACTTCCTCAAAAATATCAGAACGAAGAAAATCTATTTCTATTACTGATGAACTATCAACTTCCAGTTTTTTGAAAAGTTTTTTGAAGTAGGTACTGCAGGCAGCAAGCACACACCTATGGGCTCTGAACTTAACATCTTCAACCACAATAGCTATGTCACAAAATTCTCCTTCCAAACGTTGTTCATTCAATGTTTTCAGGAACACAGTTTTGTGATCATCGTCATTATATTTAATGGTTTCAGACATACTGATGAAAAACTCCTGTAAAATAACAAAGGAGAGTTTTGTAATTTTTATAAAGCAGTCTGAGTCATAAAATCCCAACAGGCGAAACTATTTACATACTAAAAAAATTGTCAAATAATTTTTTTCTTAATATGATCAGAAAAAGCTTTTAGATTATACAAGCATTACTCTGAAACTTATTTTAAAATTGTGAATACATAAAGATCTTTCCTTTTCACTTTACAATTACTCAGTTTTATTTATTGATTCAGTTATAAAAAACTGGAAACCTCTGTGAAACTGCAATTCTCAGTAAATGTATGATCCAACTCTTAAGTAATTCTTACAGCTAAAGAAAATGTCAATACCAAAAATGTGTAAGAAATACTCTGTGTCAGCACAACAAACTAAATGTGAAATATCAAATATAAGCCTTACCATGAACAATGTGGGAAATTTTCTGAGCAAATGATTCTTAAATATTTGACAGATTAGCCCTCAGACTGGGCCACCTTCAGCCTGAAAGACAGGAAGATAATAACGTTTCAAGAAATTATAAAATCTATTCCAAAAATTATTTTAAATTTGTATGTTAAAACACAGCACTCTCAATTATTTTATGTTAGACAAAATGCACTGTTAAAATACTCAGTTATTTTTCTGTGGTACTACAGTTCTACTGCATAAACTGATCTGATAGCATTGTTGATATAAATCATGTATTTACTTTCCTCTGGCTACTGCACTTCCCTGGCTCCACTTCCCTGCTACTTACTTCGTGCTACATCTAGAAGTCTGAAACACCTCCACAGGAATCACTACAGTCAACCCAGTAACCAACCCATCAAGAAGTTGATTAGTCTTCTGCTGAACCAGAGATCCGAGCAACCCTAGCAGAGGGTCGGGTCTGGCAAGCAGATCGGGCATCCCAAAGGACAGCAGACTGTGCTATGGGTGGATGAGGATCAAGGACCAGGGAAAGAGACACCAAGTGTATCAGATCTCCAAACAATGGAGATATCCGAAGAGCAGAAGCATAATGCCAGACACATAATTCAAATTATTCAATCCCAATTGCTGGCATCTCATTGTGACAGAAAAAGGAAACATAGCGGAGAGGAGGGAAATTTAATAATGGTTCAGAACAAATCCTCCATCACCTGGCACAAAGGTGCTGGGAACTTCTTTCCTAAATTCTATGACATTCTACGACAGGTATGATGACAGGTATGCAACTTCCATTCTTGGTGCCGTGTGTTTCACATGGTATGGGAACGTTTGACTCACTACAAATACCTTTGCAGGTCTGGAATCTCAGCTACAGTGTCCCTCGCTACAAAAAAAAAAAAAAAAAAAAGAGAAGACCACAAAAGAAAACCAAGAAACACTCTTGTGTCTTGTGTATTTTTATGGGCTGTCTGAGTCTGCTGGCCCAGGAAAATGTATCAATCCAGCACCAAAGAGGGCAGGACAACCACCATGTCAACAGGCTATGTTTGGAGCTCTTTGTAAGCTGGGAAAAATGCTTTCTTTTCAAACAAGTAGCAAAACGTCATTGCTAATAATCTAGCAGCAATTGCACCCTGTTCTGTTAAAAAATATGCAATTTTACTGCAGTTCTATTGACACTTACTGAGGGAGAATTAATTATTGAGGTAATTGTCTGAATTAATTCTGATTTATTCCTTCACACACTTTTTACACAGCCGCTACCACCGCCGGGACGTGTGTCCGGGGCTGTGCCTGCTCGGGACGCGCTCAGTGCCTGCCCACGCCGGTTCCGGCGGCTGCTGTGCCCGTGGCCGCGGAGGCGCACGCCCGCTCCACGCACCCGCCGGCGGGGACGCGGCGCGGGCGGGTTCCCGGCGGGGACCAGCCCAGCTCCTGCCGCGCCGCCCGCGCTCCCGGATCGGCGTCGGGGGCGCCCGCGAGCGGCAGCGGCTGCTCTCCAGAGCGAGCCCGGCGCTCCCGCCGCGCCGCCTCACGGGGCTGCGCAAGGACGGCGCCCCGCTCGCTCCCTCCCTCCCTCCCTCGCTCCAACGGCTCCCGCGCGGCTCCCGCCGCCTGGATGCGGCGCCCCTTTGTTGCTATGGCCGCTGCCGCGCGCGGGGCCCGCGCGCCACAGGGTGCGCATCCATCGCTGGACGCGTCCTCGTCCTCCTCCTCCTCCTCCTTTCCCTCTCCCTCCCATCGCCTGCGGGAGGCAGGCGCGCGAAGGCTCCGAGGCTGCAGGCGGCGGGCGCGCCCGCGGCGCCGCCATCTCACCCAGCGCGCGCTGCCGGGGCTGTAACGGTGGCGGCGGCGAGCGGGGGAGGGATGGGAGGGAGGAGGAGGAGGAGGCGGAGGGAGGGAGGGAGAGGGCGCGCGAGGGAGAGCGCGCGCGCGCAGCGCAGCGCCGGCCCGGCCGCCGCGCGGGAGCAGGGAGGGGGGGGGAACCGGGAGAGGGCTCGCGCTTACCTGCAGCCCGCGCGCGCGCGCGGAGCCGCGCTTCCCGGGGGAGCGCGGGGGGGCTCCGCTGCCGCCGCCGCCGCCGCGCGGGAGGGGCACGGGGAAAAGGGAAGGGAGGGAGGGAATGGG